AAAAAAAAAAAAAAAAATTACACCAAAGAATTTCAGTACCTAATTATACTACAAATAGAAACTCATTTAAAGTTAAAGAATATAATAACAAATAAGTAGGTCAACAAGTGATAAGGACAGTTCTCCTTAGCTAAGGACTGTTATTTTTTTCATTTTTTAAGTATGCAATAGTTACATTTATCATTGTGATCCTGCACCTTTACACGACAGATCTTGGTTCTCATTTTTTCCCCTTGTCTCTGCCCTCCCTTCACCCCCTCCACCCTCCCCTATTTACAAAGACTTTGTTTCCATTTTTTCCTTTTCTCATGTTAGGACTATTATTTTTAAATGAACCACCTAATTAGTAACCTGACAGTATATTTCTACAATTAGAGTAAATCTAGTGCCTCTCTCCACTTGTGACACAGTTTTAATAGGAAAAAGCTTTTCTGCAGTATACAGCTGTGCTAAAACAAAACAAAAAAACAGCTCTTTCAGCCTTCGTGCCATCTTTAAAACCTTCACAAATCCCGAGACCCAAGCAGAAGAAGGGGAAATTTGTAGGCTGAAGCACTAAAGAGGAAAGGTGAGGCAGAAGTCCAAGTAAATCACCAGCGTGTGTACCTAGAGTCCACTGGGGCAAAAATAAGCACCACCGAGCCCAGAGACTGTGTGCTATGTCTAGAATGTTTCCTGGTACATCTAGAACCACCCTCACTGCACAGTCACCAAGGTCACTTCTGAGACAGACACCCCACCTCCTACCAAAACCTTCTGTAGGGAACCTCTGACATAGCAGTTAGTTCTTGACAATAGAGCTATCAAGAATAACTCATCCTTCCTGCTGTCCCGGCTGAATTAAAAGTAAATAAATTTCCATGGATTGGAAGTGAAGCCCCAGTGATAAGCAGCGCTGCCACCCTGTGGTGCAAAAGCAGCAGGGCATGACAGCTGCGTAGTAAACTCTGGCATTTCAAAGCCCACCCAGGACCAGGACCGAACACCTCCAGAATATGTGGGGGACTGGAATCTGTAATGGGAAGGGCTAGACTTGCTTTTTCTCAATGGACTGGAGTTGACCTGGCTGTGCTTTATAACCCCCTAGACTTGGGGGTTTGCCAGCCAAGACAGGACATCTGTTCATGTTCACACAGGAAAGCGAGGACAGGCATGAATCGGGTGTCTGGACTTAACAGTACCAAGGTAGAGCGAGCCCTCTGCGCTTACAAAGTGAACTCATCGAGTTAACAGAGAACAGTGAGCCACACTAGGGCAAGCAGGAGGACTGGTGGAGCACTCACTAGGGACAGCTCCCCGGCTGCACAGCGCCTGAGGAGGTCCACTGCCAGCAGACCCTCTAAAAACTCTCAAGGAACATTATCCAAGAAATAAGACCAAGGGGGAACGCAAAGGAGCGGCAAAAATGTGTTTTAAAATGCAGAGATACACGTCCTCTTGGTGAAAGTGAAGTCAAATATAATTGGTAAATCAGTAAAATTTAAAAGGAGACTAAATTCCTACGAAGATGGAATTCCTAAAAATAGTGACAGAACAGAAGTAATTTAAAACATACCACAGGGAAGTAGAGATAAAAATTATAAAAGGGTGAAGAAGATAAGGAGTTCCACAAGGGAAAAACAAGAGGATATATTTAGAGAAACCCTAAGACTGAAAATTTTCATCAAAGACAAAACAAGGTGAATTTTATAAAACTCACAGCTTACTGTATCACAATAAAGTTCGAAAATATAAAGAATAATGTGAAAAACCTATCTGGAGACAGGGCCTTGCTATATAATTCATGCTGGCCTTGAAGTCACTATGGAGCCCGGGCTGGTCTCAAACTGGAGAGGGTCCTCCTCACCTCAGCCTCCAGAGTGCTGGGATTACCACCATGCCTAAAATGAAAATTTTAAATAGCTAGCAGAAAATTGGTATTACTCACAAGGTTACTACCATCAGGTTGACAATGTGAGTGCCAAAAAGTAACAGTAACACCTTTGGAAGACTCAGGGAAAATTCCTATCAGTTTAAAACATTGTACCCAGCTAGACTATCATCTAAGGTTGACAGGTAAATGGAAATATTTTAAGATGTACTCAGTAAGGAAGGTGGGGTTGTGCTCAGTCATAGGACATAAGGACTCCGTAGGCCGAAAAGCACACAGCCCAAAAAAGGTGTCAGAAAGCTGAGGCCTAGGCCCAGGGCTGTGGCACTGGCAACTCTGCCACCTGCAAAGCAAAGTACAGTGAAATAGACCTGGGGGCGCAGGGATCTGAGCTGCCCCCAGCGGGTGCTCCTACAGTCCTCTTTCTCATGCTTGCTCTAGCTTGGCTCACTGTTTACTGCTGTCAACATGATGAATTAACAAGCAAGGAGGCTTCTCTCTACCCTGAGAGTGTTAAGTCCAGACACAGGAGAAGCCTGACACCTTGTCACACCTGTCTTCTGCTTTCCAGTGTGGCCATGAGCAGTGCTGAGAGGGAACCTAGAGCTTCGTGCACGCTAGGTACTGGGTAACTTCTTGACCTCTTATCTAGAACATGGCCAGAAATCTCTGAAAACTTTTGTAAGCAGATAAAAAGAAGCATCTGTTCCAAAGACAGTGTTTTTAGGTGTTCTCACGGTTAAACTGAAAGCTTTTGTCTTTTGGGGTTTTGGTTTTTATGCTGGGAATAAAACCAGAGCCTCACACACTATCACTGACCTCACTCTCAGGCTAAGCCTGCTGCTTCATTCTTGGGAAGACATGCAAGTCCTCCTGAGTAGTATGTGGCTGGCCTCTCCCTTTACTCTTTTTTGGAGACTAGTGAATAGTTAAAGACTTTATCTCTTTACCTGTGTCTTACACTTAAATGTTTCTGTTCATCTCCTTGTACCTTTTAGCTCAGGTAGCAAAAAATAATACATCAGAACAGTTGGGCATTCCTAATCTGAAATCTGCAAACTCTGAGCATATGCTTAGAAAATTAAAGAATTCAGAGCACTTAGGATAATTCTGGACTAGGGATGACCAGTTAGTGAAATCTATGCAACTATCCCCAAATCCAAAATGTGAAATTCTTCTAATCCCAAGCATTTTGCATAAAGGATACTCAGCCTGCACTGATTTGTTGCAATAGGTCTAATCCAAAGCTGTCTGAATACCAAAGAACTAAACATCATACTTCGCAATTGTGTCCATGAAAAAAATTAGACAATAGTTACTTTAACCCCTGGTGAAACACCAACCATTAGAACATTGTTACTAGTGCAGTATACATGTTTGGACTGCTTTTAAAATATTTCTCCTTTACTCCTTTTACCAAGTTGCATAGAAGCAGCTAAGAAGAAAACAAAAGGTATAAAAATTAGAAATATAGCATACAATTTTCCATTGCTAACAAGTTGCATATTCTTCCTGATTAGAAAAAAAATATAGCTGGGCATGATGTTGCATGCCTGTAATCTACACTCAGCAGGCTGAGGCAGGAGGATTACTCCAAGTTCCAGGCCAGCCTGACTCCATAATTGTAAAGGCCAGCCTGAACCTCACAGCAAAATATTTTCTCAAAAAAAAAAGAAAACCTAATGCCAAGCCAATATGAATAGTTCACCAAAGCTGTTGAGTTCATAATCAACATATAGGGATCAGTAGAATTTCCTATATAGCAATATAGCACACACTTTAATATATATATAAAACAGTAT